TAAGGTGTTGTCCCATCAGAAGCACTTGAGTTGGTATCACTTTGATATCTTTTTTTTTCATCTCCTCATTTTCTGAGGAGGAGCGAATGAAGACTGTCTTGCCAAAAATATGCTGAGTTTTCGGTTAACGGTGCTGAGTTGCACAACTGGCGTGGTGATAGTGTTCCAAAGCTCTGTGTGGCTTTGGAAATAGATAACTCTTGTATGTCTGAGGCCGAGGTGGAGAACTCTTCCTTACTTTTTGTGTATCTTTGAGAGTATTACCTGACAGTACAGTGTCATGTGGCTGCTGGCACATAACAGTTGTAGGCTGCATTTTGCCTTTCGTTTCCTAACTCTCCACTTGTGGTCTAAATGGTACCCTGAGCTATCTTGCTCCCTCAGAATTCTATTTTGTTATTTTAATTGGGGCAGTTCTGTGGCCGCTGAGCTGATGGTTTCCTGTAAACATTTCAGTACCCATCTTGTAATTCTGACACCTACCGTGAATTTATTTCTGCAAATGAAAATCCTGAATGTGGTGGGGAGTGGAGGCGTAATAGAATCTACGTGTGATGTTTCTCTGTGCTTCCTCAAAGCCGTTGCCTCTGCGTTTGTTGGGCATTTCTGCTTCATAGCTGTCACGCCAGGTACGTGCCTTTCTGTATTGTGGCACAATTTCCATACCCCTACATAGTACAGGGTGCCTCCTACTTCTGGCAACCGGGTCATCCTTCAGTTTGTTAATTACAAAACTTCTTTTAAGGAAGTTGCTTTAAAAATGACATTAAGCTTCAGGTTTGTGTTTGTTAACCTTGCTGAGATTCTGTTAAAGCTGACTAGTTGAGGGAGAATTAGCTTTCATTTATCCTTGTTTGATTTTACCCCCATCCCACCCCCAGTTGTAAGAGATATTTTGTCAGATTTTTCACCAGATTTGCCTTTTTTATTACATTTGCTAGACTATTTTTTTTTTGTAGCTTTCTATAAGATGCATAAAATACTGCTATTTTTCCTGGATAACATTGAATAAATAAATGCATATACAGGAAATTTATGTTCTAGGTTGTCAGATTGTCCCCTTGTCCGAAAAACCACGGATCCAAACAAACCCGTAGTACAAATTTTATGTGTAACATAATTATAAAATTGTATTGCTTATAGCCTGTAAATGAAGGGGGACTGTAAATACATTTTCCCTGTGCACAAGCACTGGCACTGTAGTTTTGTATCCGTTTCTAATAGAGTAATTGTAGCATCACTGTTTTTATATAGTCTCTTAACCTATCTGGGAATTTTACCTGCTTTGTTTCTTTTGTGTTCGAAGTAGCCTTCACTTCAATTGTATGTGATTCCTTTTAGGTTTCGATACTGAAGTCAATGTGCAAAAAGAAATGAACTTGAAGCTGCTGTAATCATTAGTGTGTAGAAAGTAGAGTTAAATTGGCCTGAGGCATGCAAAAGTGTTATGCAATTTAAACTTTATGAATAAGTGTTTCTGTATCAATAAATTCAGTAAAGACTTTTTAGCCTTCTTAACATGGCTTTGCATCATGTCGTGGTTCGAACACTTTGTAGGTAGGTACTGATTTCCATAATTGAAGGTTAAGACAGAACTCCAGAAAAAGCACTTAATAACGTAGTGCAGGTGCATCGTTTTAGACGAACTCCTCAGAATATAATCTCTCAAAAGCAACCTGCCCAGCTGATGATTTCTAAACCTTCATGTAGTGGAGTTGTGCAAGATGTGTTTTGGAATTAGCACACTCAGAACTGATCTAGATTTAATACATCAAAACGGTTCAAGAGTGAGTTCCCTTACCTGGCTCTCAGACCTGTAGACAACAGATATCAAGAGGTCATTTAGTCCATTTCTGTACTTCAAGGAATTGCCTGAGCCAAAGGTGGCAGGAGTTAGTTTTTATACATTCTCTTGTCTTTAATGCACCACTCTTTTCTCCTGTGCTCTGTTTCAGTGCTGAATTAATGCAGATTTTTGTGTTAAAGGCTCCCATTTCACTAATATTGAGACTACTACATTGGCTTCAGCTGTAACAGGAAACTGATCATAATAGCAAATACAGCTGTTGCTGGTTAAATGTCTGTTAATCTTTATTCCACAGGATAATTACCTGTAGTCTGTGTTTCTTCCTGCCATCTGTGTGTATGATAGATGTCCTTTTACCAACTACAACGTAAGACTAGTTCAGTGTTAATGTTTTCCTTCACGTGATGCTTGCTGAAAAAAAAAAAAAATCCTTTTCTGCTTTGGAAAGCTATGGATATGTCATACAAATGGTATCGAGTAAATTAAATTTGTCAGATAATGTTTATGTTCACTTCATAGTAAAATGTAAGCCATCACACCTCCCTGGGAAGTAGTGATGAGCGCCTCAGGGGACCTACTCCAGTGAAATCTTTCTGTTGGGGCAGAAGTGGTAGTTAAAAAAAGGGAGAGGGGGAACCACACGTCTGAAAAATAAAACCAAAATTCCTTGTGTTCTCCTGATGTGAAAAAGCCTGTCTAGCAGGGGCTGGAAGTGCTTAAGCATGGGACACAAGCGTTAACTTTCATTCCTGTTACTTAGGAGTTAACTTTTGGTTCTTGTTCAGAGCTGCATGCTTCTTTTTTAAGCAATTTGTCATGTTGATGGAAAATAAGATAAATGAATGGAAAAGGACGGGAGCTGTGATGGCTAGCAACATCTCATGAACATCCTGTTTGTCATGAAGAGGAGATAAGTGAGGTAGAAGAGATGTGGTTCAAGCTTAAGTGAAGATCTGCTTCTGAGTCAATGGAAAGGTTGCAGAACTTGCCTTTTTGCACTCAACTTGTTCCCTGTGATATGGCCACTGTTAAATCTGCTGACTTGGCTAAAGATCCTGTTCCTACAAAGCGGTAGGCAAATACCCATCAGTCCTCCCAGGAGCTGCCACCACCGCACAGCCAGGCGCTGAAAGAAGATTCCAAAGACAGTGCGTACAGAAACAGGATCGATGCCTGCCCCAGCTCTCCTGGTAGCAATCGAAATAAACCTGGAAGGGATTTTTTTTTTTGCAGATGGTTTGGAGCTCGGAGTTTAAGCACCAAGATATAATCGGAGGCAGAAGGCAAATGCCTCATATTTGTAAAGTGGCCAGATGTGCCAGGGAAGAAGTTGATGACTTAAATGCTGGCACATGGTTGGAGGAAAGCATTTCTGTTTATTTTCCTAGAAATACTTTACAGAACAACTTTGGAGTAGCTGTCTTACCCTGTCCTAACAGAGCTCGCTGTGTTTTGGAAAGAGAGACGGGGAGCGATCGGGCTGGAAGAACATGACTGAAGTCTCGAAGGTGTTGACATCACCACATCGGTGTCTCGTCTGATGCACACGAAGGATGCACTTGTAATGCACTTAGCTTCCCAAATGGGAATTAAAAGCTGTCATTTATCTGGAGCAATCTGCTCTCCGCTGCCGATTGTTCCATAAAGGCTGGAGCAGATTATTTGGCCTTTTACAGCCTGTTTTTCTGAGAAGGGGTCGGGTGGCCACTAGAGGACACTCTGCTCAAAACCATGAGTTGGGTCCCGGGGAGCTGAGCGAACTTGCTTGGATTTCCAAGTGATGTCAGAGCAAAGAAACAGCAGATCGCCTGAGGAGCAGATGCAGAAAACCTGCAGGATCGTGCCCTTTTGTAGCTGGGGAGGAATACAGCTTTTACCATCTATGATCTGAAATCTGTAAGTGAAACCCCAAAACCCAACACTCTCTCCCCAAATGCTCTAGTGACAGTCTGGAGGCAGAAGAGAACCGGGGAGCTTGAAGTGTCACTGTTGTTACTCTTTTGTCACGTTAATTATATTGTAGTTTCCAGTATAAAGCAGACTGGCAGGCTGATGGGAAACTTCTGTTTGATCTTCCAGGGAAGGTGGAATGGTGCCATGTTTGGAATCCCTCAAATACCTTTATATCCTAATGAACGTTAACGTCTCACGCTCATGCTGAACTCACACATTTAGGATCTTGTACAGTAATAATTTAAAACTTAAAGACAAACTGTTCTCGCTCTAAGCTGCTTTATAACAGTAAAAGGTGATTAATTCAACTTGCGTCTCAATTTTTATTATCCAGTGGGAGAAACAAACTGAGGTCTGCATTTCCTACAGGAATTCAAACTCAGTTTCATTGTTTCTTTCCTTCTTCACCCCTCAATTGCCTTTAATTTCACCAAAATCCTGTCATTTTTCCAAATTACATCCTTGTAGGAAGGAATTACACGAGCTAAATGGTCTTTGAAATGAATCAGTTTTACTCTGCATAAGAAACTTTACAGAATACAATCAGGTATTTTTTTTTGTCTTTATTTGCAAGTTATTTATCTCTGTTAGTGATTTCCCTTTTGAAATCTGTAGCGTTTCATGCACCCATCAATGGCTGGAGATGTTTTTTTGCTGGATGTTATAACTACATGTAATGAGTGACAGCCTCTATCCTAAAAGCCTTACTGCCTGATATGTTTGACAGGCAGATAAGATGCTATCCTTAGTTTGCAGAGCGTATGCTAAGGCAAAAATTTCAACATCAAAAACGTGACCCTGGGCTGTCTGCGTCCTGGCTCAGCCCTGGAAGCACTGGGTCATTTTTTGGTCCTTGTCCAGAGTTGCATTCTGCCTGCGTTCAGATAAACGCCGGCCAAGAAGGTGAGGAGTTAACTTGCTGTTCAAAATAAGAAAAAAGGCAAAAAATAAATCAAAATGAAGACTTTATATTTCAGCACCACAATTAAAGAGGGGTGGGAACAGTCTGATCTGCAGTGATGTACATAATGGCAGAGAGGGTGGGCGGCTGGACTGTCAAACTGCCTTAATTTAATTGCAAACACATGCTGATGAGTCCCCTCCTCCTGGACCTCAGGGCTGGGAAACTTTTTTTTGTCAGCTCCCTGCAGTTCAGAATTGAGGCAAATACACTCCAGCAAACACCATGCTGATCAAACCTTCAGTTCTTCGAGGCTTTTTGTGTTTTCTCCTCTTGCCTAGTGTCTCCTGCTCCTGCCCTAGTCGCTGCCTGTGCTTCAGGACTACAGTAAGATGCATGCATCTGATGTTGGAAACCATCCCCGATATCCCACCCCAGACAAACATACTGTGAGTAACCATTTCATTTTACTGCCTTTCTTACCTGCTTGGTCTTTAGAAAGAAGAAAGAAAAAGCCAAGGCCAAAAGCATGGGTTTTATCCTCTTCCTTTTTGTCTGCATCGCAAACTGTTTCGTGCTTTTAGAGCATAAAACAGAAACTGCTGCTTTTGGCGTCAGTTAATTGCTAGCAGGACAATCAAGGGAATTGAAAAATTTAGTAAGAATAATGCCAGGGCGATGACTGGAAGACGTTTTTGGAGAATCAAAGGTCACAAATGTTAAATGAGCTTATAGAAAGGTACACAGCTTACATTTGAGAGGCTTTGCATATGGGTGCAGGGGAGAGAGAGGAAATAACAGCAGTTCAGGCTTTTGTCTCTGCTGAAACAAACACTTTCCTGATACATACACCACCATTTCTTTCTGAAACTGTTACATACTGGTTTTCCAGTTTCTATCTGAACTATACGAATCTAACTTAAGGCTTGTTTGGAAAGCAACAATTGTGGTAACTCACAGATCCCTTGAGAAATAAAGTACCTGTTGGTGAGGAGCTGCTGGCTGAGTCCATTCAAACACGAGAGGTGGAGGAAAAGGGCATGTAATGCTTCGAGACTCCTAAACAGCCAGTAAGAGCATTTCCCTGTGATTCTAATCTAATCCTAAACTTAAAGGTGGCTTTAAGATGCAGTGGCAAGTGACAAAATACTTCCCTTTGTGCTGCTCTTAGCTGATCCCTTGGTTTGAAAGGCCTTTTCTATAAATAGTAGGGAAGACTTGTCAGAAATTTATCTTTATACTCATCCTCCTTAAAATGCTGCTGATTGTAAACCTTATTCAACACTAGTTTGAGAAGCTTTTCCCTGTGCCTGTAACAAACCAAATTTGGTTTCAGCCAAAGCATCTATACCAGCATTTCTCCTGTAAACATCTCGCTAACATTGCTAATGTGATTTCTTTGCTGGCAGCCTAAGGAACGTGATGTGGGCAGGATGCTGGTGTTTTAATTGCTGCCATCCAGATCTGCTTTGGTGGGTGGAAACCACAGAGGTTCTAGCATTAGTGGCACACAGCAAAGTGTCTATGCTTGCTACAGCTGCCAGAGCTATGTTGTTGGGAAAAAAGATTGCAGCTGGGCTACTTGGGATCACCCTGACACAGGCAGGTCGGAATCTGGGCTTGCTCTCTCTCTCTAGGTTAGGGATGGAGTGGTTATTCTGCAGTGTGGAGCTGGTCAGCACTAGATGGCTTGTTGGAAGCTATCTGGGTAGTGGTTTTCTGCTCTACAGCAGCTTGCAGGGTCTGACTCTCCAGATTGTCTCCAAATTTTTTTCCCCTGTATTCCCCTGCATCTTGAAATATTCAAATATTTAAAATACCCTTCCACTTTCTGGTTTTAGCAAAGTAACTTGTTTCTCCTTGTTGAAACATAGATTCTATCAAGGGAAAAGCTGTTTTGTTGACTGAACTGAAATATTTCTGAGCTCAATAAAGCTTAATCTCTGTTCTGTCTTTGAAATGAGACGTTTACTGTCACACTGGATAGCCTGAGTGTGTTTCTGGTGGAGATTCTTTGAGTGCAGAGGGAGGGAAATTTACTGTGGTCACCAACTTTTTTTCAGTCCTGGAATGGTGGATTTCTAAATGCCCTCTGGCAACAGCAAACTTCATTCTTTCTGTGCTGCAGGGTGCAAAACCCAGCTCTGCTCCATGGCTTGTCCTTGCAGCTTCAGTGAAGTTCCAGGTAGTGTTTTGCTATAATTTAAGTGGTGTTTCATTGTCTGTAAAACTTGATCTAGAAAGGTGACCACATTTTCTACTGTGGTGGACAGAGTCACCCTAATTCCCTCTCCTCTGATCTAACTGGTTTGCACGTACACTGCTTGTAAATGGTCCATGTTTTTCCTCCTTAACCATTTGGAAAGCTGGCTAATATAGTTTAAAATGATAGCCACAGCCTTGAATGGGAGACAGGTCTTTTAAACGTTGACTAAATGGTATAGGTGTGAGATATAAAAGTGCTAATGTTCCAAAATGAGATGACTGCCTTTGTAGACCAGTATTTTTTAGGGAGATTTATCTGGTTTATTCTCTTTTAATACTGTCTGTATGATTATAAGCAAAGCCCATACTGATGAGCAGAGATTCCCATAGATACAAAGACATGTGAGCCCAGTAAGTGTTCTGTTGGCAGATCATGTGCCTTTGTATGGTGTGTGGTAAGAAAGAATCCTGACTTTCTGGCTATCTTGAAGATCTAATGTATGTAAATGCATTTGCCAGCCGGCATCCCATTGTATCTATTATAAATAGCATTTGAATAATTAAACATTTTGTAATTGTGAAAGATCAAAGAATGCTTCTTAACCAAGCCCCTGACTACTCCAGCTTTTCGGTATGTTAATCTTTCTCCTGGGAGGACCGTTGTGTCAGAGTGAACGTTCAGAATTGTAGCAAGAATAGTCTTGATCATAGAGTTATTCTGAGCAGAAAATGTGGGAATGTGATAATTTCCACATTTGCCCTTTGGTATGAGTAGGACCAAGTCTGTGACTGCAGATGCAAACACCGATCCCAGGCTCCAGCTCAGTTCCTTTGGAGGACAGCTGCAGTTTCCAGATGGAGTTTGCTTTGAAGTTGGGAGTTTGGGACTTTCTGACCTGCGTGACTCTGTGCCACCCTCTCTCTAACAATCCTTGAAGAGTGGGGAAGTCTTCTAGCCGGCACATGCTGCGCTCCAACATGGCCCGTTGGCAGATGGCCCCCTCGGGGCTGTAGCCAGCTGGCGTAACTTAGAGCAGCCCATAGTCTTCTCCAAGCGATGCTGGGATTGGCATGGAACCAGTTCCAGGATTGATGAGCTGTTACTGGCTCCTCTTTGGTCGCCGTTTCCCTCCTCCCTTCCCCGTCCCAGCTGGGTGCAGCTGAGGATCTGGCCCAACGTCTGGTTTTAGCAATGGGCTATTTGTCTTTGGTAATAAAGTCTGTTCGTTTTGTCCTGAGCAGAGAATAGGATGGTAGGAAGGGCTACACGTGTACAGATAAGTAAGCTATAAAAATTCATGGTGTATAGCTGCAAACGTATTTTGGCTGCTGTCTCTTCAACTGGAACATGATTATCCAGATGTGATCTGCTGGTTACCGCTGGGATTCAAGCAGTTCTTTTAGCCAGCAGCCCAAAGAAGGGAACAGCTGTGAAACATACACTCAGAAAATTTCAATAGGTCTTTAACCTTCTAAGTCATTCGTTCTACAGTGTGACATTTAAAACAATAAACTTTGAAACGTGTGGGCACGAGTAGAAGAAATCCATGGAAAGAAGTTCCCCTCTGGCTGGCAGCTAATGGATTGCAATCCAATTATCCGTGGGTTATTCTCCTTCCTGCATTCTGCGTAGCACATAATGAGTACTTCTAGAGAAACATAGCTGAGGGCACAAGCAGAGGCGGCGCAGATCGGGGATCTGAACGCATCGCTGGCATGAACTGAAGGTGACCCAGTTGTTCACAGACCTGGTTGCTAATTGGGCAGTGTCGGCACGGCCAGCTCGACGAGTTTTGTCTCCCTTCATCATTGTGCTGCTTGTTTGGTGGCCGCTGGGTTCCTTTCTTCCTCCCGCAGGTCGCTGCGCTGCGGCAGGGAAGGCTGCAGTAGGACAGGCTGTAGCTGTCTTCCTCTGTCTCCAGGAGCATAGTTTTGAGAAGGAACTTTAGACATTTGTTGGGGAAAGGTTTGCTGAGCAAATGAGTTCTTGGAAACGCTGCTGCCTTTGCGGTCTCTGTCGTGTGCTTTGGGTTGAAGAACGGATTACTCATTTCCTCTGCGTGTGATAGTCTTATATGCAGCCATTAAACGCACACCCACGCGTTCCGGAGGTGCCAGGTGTGATCCCTTTCTGACTTCTTCCGCTGGAGTATTTAATCCTCATTAAACCTTTTAGAGGTGACCAAAGTCTTCAGTGGATTCTGTTTATAGAAGACTCTTCACTGGAAGGAAAACGGGGAGGGAAGGTATTTAAAACATTTTCCTTCCTAGAAACATTCCAGCATCTTTTGATGAGAACATCCTAACTTTTGGGATTGTAGGTACCTCAAGTGTTTAGAAATCCTGCCCTCACTGAACTTCGCAGTGCTTCATCATCTGGTTCCCACTTGAGTATTTGCATTTTCATTGACCTCACTGTATCCTTCTCCCCATAGGTATAGCAGGACTTTTTCCTGTGCTCTTTAAGGAAAAGTCAGAAATTTTTGGTGAAGGAATGTGTGTGTATTCTGAGTAAAGAATTAAATGCTCATGCTCTTAAAAAAAGAAAAAAGCTGACTCCTATGCTGCATGAGACTTGATATTAAGAATGGGTCAGCAGTTCATTGAAGCTGTCATGGTGCTACTGCTTCTTAGACTCCATGAAACAGCTAAGTTTATCTTTACGCTCAGAAATTTTCTTTTACTCCCTCCAGATCAGGGTCCGAACACGCTTCAGGAGGAGGGAAAGTTGTCTTCGTTTGACGGGGGCAATACCTTGATGAGATGGTGCAAAGGAAATATGCATTAGGTTAAGAGAAATCTGCTCCTTGCAGGCATGAATACCCAAGAATAGACTTGGCTGGTTCGATTAGGATCAGACCCCAATCTCCACACCAGCTGTTTATACATGATAGCTCAAATTATCGAAGATTGATGAGGTCAACAGTTGGCTATGTCATCTCCCTACCTGAATATATGTCCTGCACCAAAACTTATGTTTTGGAGATATCCCTTGCTCCTTCTTTTACTGGCAAGAGCTAAAGGGATGCTCTGTGGCAGTTGATGAACCGATTCCACCAGGGATGAAGTACCAGCACACTCCTCCTGCGCTGGCACTGCCTTCAGGGCCAGGCTGTGAAGTGCAATGTTGACTCCAGCTTATGTGCACGGAAAAGGTGGGATCAAAACAGCTTGGTACTGGTTGACTGCTGAATTACTATCAAGTTCTTGCCCCAGCTGACGCAGAGTGCGCCCTTTTGAAAAA